GGTGGGGTGGGGGGCGCACCCGACGGGCTGTTGTGAGAACTCAGCATGCTGCCATGAGGGATGTATGTACGCACATGGGAGTCCTGGCTTTGTCAGCTACTGGAGAAAGTGTAGGATCCGTTGTGCAAGGGCTGCCACATTATTTGATGATGTTGAATTTCCCACGCGTGCAGCAGTGGCTGAATGACGGCCCAACAGCGCGGCTCAGCTCCAATGTGCGAGTGAGCTGCCTCTTGCCCGGCGCTCCTACATGACACAACGCTGCCGCAGCCAGTACAACAATAGAGTCACCTCCAAAATGCTTGTTGGCCGAGACCTGCTCCGGGGCAGGCGGGGCCGCCGATGCCATCACGCAATTCGCTGTGGAGCAGCGCACGGGGCTGTGCTGCACAGGGTGCGGCCAGGTGCAGCGAGCAGCAGCGCTCGATCGCGGCTGCACGGATCCGATACGCCTAGACGTCCCTAAGAGCGAGGGCGTGAGCACTGCGACCGCGGATCGAGCCGTGGGAGCAGCGCACGCAAGATGATGGAGCCTCATTCGTGGCTCAAGGGCATGCTGATTATTGCTCAGTGACCAATCCTTGCAAACCTGCCGACCAGGATGGTGGCTGATCTCGGGTAACTGGGTGACCCTGTTTCATTCCCAGGCCCCAAGCTCAGGCTCGCAGCTCAGTGAATGTGTGAGTGATCGAAATCATTCATGGATACTACTAGACGAGGCAGGCCACCGCGCATACGAATGGCCCGAAACGGGGTGCTGCAGCGCGAGCGGCAGGCACAAAAGAAGCCAGCCTGCGTGCAGTATATCATGCCCCAACTCACAGAAACCCACACTTAAGATACTGTCGGTATACAGTGTATGGTCGGGAGGTGCAGCACGTGGGGACGATGCGAGCCTTTATCGGTCAACTCCTGCTTGAATCAATTGACCGGACCCCGACGACCACCCATGCCAGCGAACCACTGCCCAAGGGAGGTATGAATACGGATGTCATACACTGATGGTATGGTGGTGGGGCATAATATATCTTTTACAAGTACTGGATGAGGAATGTTGTGTGGGGATTGGTGGAGCGGTGGGAGTGCTGTGAATATGCTCTTCTCTTCTCGGCCGTACGGAAGCGTGCGCGCCCGCACTCAATTGTGTGTGTAGGAAGCCGCAGCAGAAAATCACCGCAAGAAGGACTGGTTGAGCTTTAGTTCCAGGGGCTTGAGACATGAAGGCAAAGGGGGACAGGCTGCAACAAGAACACCAGGCAAAGCGAGGTTCTCAGGCAAGGCGCAAGCAAGCCAAGTCATGGATGGTGGAGATGTAGTTGTGTGCCGGTGGTGGTGGTGGTGTAACGTGTCAAAGGTAGAAAATGAAAAGAGGCTCGCGCAGAGCTCAAGGTGTGAAGGCGAATTGCTGGGTTATGGCAAGCTCAAACCTCCTGCAACACAAGCCATCAGCCAGCCAAAAGTGCCCTCCAAGTCTCCTTGCCCCGCAGTCCTCACACAGCTGTATGAGACCCTACGTCTGTCAAAGGTCCTCGTTCATTTTTTTGGCAGCGTCTGCACAATTGTAGTGTTGTGTGTACGCGTCTGCAGTCGGCCAATCGCGACGCCGTCGGCATTGCTGGTGAGCCAGGCGGCTCACTAGCATCACACATTCATTCCCATGAAGCAAGGAAGCGCCAGGCTTGACGAGTTGGTCTTCATGCGGGCAAACCGCTTGCTGTTGCAAGTTCTGCAGTGAGGCTCGCGCGGCCAGCACGCGGACTGCCCTCAGACGCTCTCCACGGGCGAGGCCTCCTTGACGCCACCGGTCGCCGTCGGGGCTCCGCCGTCCGCGGCCTTAGCATCGTCGGTCGCTGCAGTGGCGGCGCGGCGGCGGAGGAGTGAGCAGTGATTATAAGCAACATTGTTGCGAATCTTGGAATCCAACCGCAGCTTATGCGCCGGACCTGCGTACGGCGTGATTGAGCAGAACCATTGGGGGCGGGTGCGTGGGCTGGAACGAAGCAGCTCACCAGCCTCGGCGGCAGGCGCCTTGCCGTCGCGGGCGCGGATTGGCACCAGCCCCTTGCCGTCGCGCATGTCGAGGCCGCCCAGAACGGCGCTCGCGCCCCACGCCACAACGAGGAAGAACCTGGGGCGTGCGTTCACAGCGCAGCCGTGAGCGCTGCTGGCTGAAGGATGAGCGCGCGGCGGGAACAGCGCGCGCACGCTTCACACAAATGGTGTTTCCCCCGTTTTGCACATTGCAATATTATTCGCAAATGTAGGATGTGTATTGTGCAGCCCAGGCGCAACCAAGCAGCAGGTGCCAGCTGCAGCTGCAACATAGGCAGCTCGGCCCGCCTCCGGGCACGAGTCGGAACCCACCCGCATGCGATGGCGATGCCCCACGCAGCGCAGAAGCCCGGCGACGACGACCAGCCGTAGAACCAGCGGGAGTAGTAGTAGCCGTCGGAGCAGGAGGACGCGCCGATGCCTGAGGCGGCCGCACCGGCGCCGGCCAGGCAGAAGAGGCACCAGAAGCCGGACAGTATTACGTCCAGCAGGCCGGGCAGGGCCCTGGGGGCAGGAAGGCCGGGGCAGCACGGTGACTTTTTGAGGTTCTTGTGAAGGCGGGCCGCGCAGACAACTGATTCCACGGGTGGCGGCGCCGTCGGTGCAGCTTAGACAACTTGCCGACGCCGCTCACTGGTCCGTCCCTTTTGTGCACCCCCACCCGGCTGCGCGCGCCTGCGCTTGACCCGTGGCTCTCCCAGCCAAGCCGCCAGCGGCCGGCCCCACGGCCGGCACCCGTCCGCTCACGTTTGGAGCTTCCGTGTGTGAGCATTCTCCACCCTTGTGGCGATGTACGGCGTGGCCAGGTAGAGTGCAGCCGTCAGCAGCCCGCAGACCCCGTTGAAAATAGAGAGGCCCACACCGCCGTAGACCTGGGTCCACGCCACGCCCAGCCGGTTTGACACGTGCCCGGCCGTCGCCAGCATGATGAATGACAGCACCACCTAGGTTGTTACGAGGGTGCGAAGGGGTCCGAGCGACACGTGGCTGAGGGGTGCTGCCGTCGGCGGTGAGTGATTTGGGTGGGCAGAGCGTGCAGCAAGGGAGAAGGAGCTGGGAGAGCCTGGTCGCGTTGCCTGCTGCCGGCTGGTTCATAGAAATAAGCTGTACTCAAGTGGTACGTAAGGTCAGGCGTTGGTGGGACTGAAGGCCACCGTGTCCCCGTGGCGTCACTAGTGTAGAGCTGGCGAGCTGGCACCGGCCGCATCGCCAGCAATCGATGGGCTGGCCTATGCCCGCGTTCGCTCGGTGAGAAGACGACGAGCTCAAATACGTCAACACAAACCTGAGCTATACGCAGGCCGAACTGCACGGTGGGGCGAGGCGGCATGGCCATGTTGGTTCGCACTTGGTGCGAGACTGCCGTGTTCAAGGGTGTTGAAGCACTGACGTGGTCGCTTGAACTGCTCGTGGGTCACAAAGATGTGGGGGCACCCTCTTGTCACCCGCGAGATTTGCCACGAAGGGAATTTGTGCCGGCTACAATGCCACTCCACACCACCAGAGTGTCCCTGTACTGCCCATCAAAGTCAATGTCTAGCATGCATCGGTCACGGTTGCAGTCAAGAGCACGTTGGCACCTGTGCAGGCACTTGCACGGTCACTTCGATGATACGTTGAACACAGTCAGCGCGTCCGGCCGGCCGTCAAAAATGCGGCCACATTCAGACAGGAGTGGACAGGTTATGGGGCGAGGCTCGATGAATCCAAGAGCTGGTGATTCTACTGCAAAGTAGAGTGAACTGCGGGTAGGGATGAGCGAAGGGGCGTACTCGGGTCGATGCAGCAAGCGTGGATTCACGCCAGTGTGCCGGCATTTCCTCGAGCCACACCCTGCGAGTGTGTGCCTCACATTTCATACCCCTTCACCCCTCCACACGTGCAGCAGCCCTTTGCTGCACTCTTCGAACCAGCACGCAGACCCTTGCCTCAAGCACTGCCTTTCCATGTTTTGCCTACCCTTTGTGTGTCCGAAACGGTAAAACAGGCTGGTGGCTTTCGAACAGCGGGGG